AAGAAGGAAAGAATCAACAATCGATAACTCGAACGTTACGAGAAAGGGCGAGTTTCAGATTACATCGAACATCGATATATGGAGGTTCAACAAATGGGTCGTCAAGGAATGGTACGGGTACAGGTTCTGGTAATCGGAATAGTATGGTTGAAAGTCGTAATCAAAGTCCAAAAGAAACATCAAGGTTTGAAGAGATAATTCAGGTTGAAGGTCATGATAACAATAATATCGGTATCGACGGAGACGGAGACGGAGGGGACGGAGGGGAAAGAGGAGGAGGAGGAGGAGGAGAAGGCCACCAACAGGGAGATGGAATTGGCGCCGAACTAAGGTTAAACTTTCGAAATAGTATGAGTAGCGATCTGCAACAACAACTTCATCAACATTCACAGACAACTTCACCATCATCACCAAATTTCAAACAACAACCTCTCGCCAATTCAAAATTAATTATCGAAGAAGAGAATAATAAACACGATAGTTTTTCCACCTCAACAGATTTTCCCACTCCGAATACAGATATACCGCGCGTGTTGGAAGAAGACGAAGAGGAGGAAGCAGAAGCAAAGGATGAAATTCAGGACGAGCCGCATCCAGAACCTAAAGACGTGAAATTTGGCAATTCGATACCGCAAAGCCCTATCAGTTCGAACAACACTACTTATCAACCTACACCTCGCAAACCCGAATTATCTAGACGACAAAGTTTACTTCCACATCAACAAACAAAATTAATTAAGACATTATTAGAAGCAGAATTGCCGGCACAACCCCAAGTCAACAGCATATCTACGGGAGGAATTCTTGGTGCTGATTATTTTTCCAATCACGGAGCTTTAACGATAAGCGCAGCGATGGTTACTCGAAAGATATGGGTTAAAAGGCCCGGTGCTTCTGCGACATTAGTTACAATACATGAGGATGATTTGGTCGATGATGTGCGAGATATGATTTTGAAGAAATATGCGAATTCGTTAGGAAGAAGTTTTGATGCGCCGGATGTTACGTTAAGGATTATACCAAGAGAGCAACAGAGACAGGAAAGAATTTTAGGACCAGAAGAGCCGATGAGTCGAACACTCGACGCATATTTTCCTGGTGGTCAAACAGTGGATGAAGCGTTGGTAATTGATGTACCCGTTAAAAGAACACCAAAACCATCTCCTAGGCCCAATGGACATCCGGTATATTATGAAGAAGGACGGCCTACCGAAGCTGGATCTGATTACTTCCCACCTATGCCACTACCGGTTCCTTCTCCAGGCTTACCGCATAGTGTCCCGGTCCCTAATGGAAACCAGAATACAGCTCCGTTGATAGCACACGCTATGTCCGTACTTACAACTGGTCATGTACCAGCCTTACCTTCTCCGTCGGCTCAAAGAAGACATCATAGCTCGAGACCAAGGATAGGACGAACTCATACTTCTTCTCCTACAGTCATCAGTGGACACAGTCAACCCCCTGTCACAAATAATGGTACGCAATTTCAACGTGGCCCAAGATCAAGAACTCACTCAAGTGCCTCAGAAAAATCCGCAATTCCCCCTCCCCCACCACTTCCAACACCACCTGCTCCAAACCAGGAACTGGCACCACAACGAGTCGTTACACCTCCTCCCAGGGTATCGTCCCCCCGGCCACAGAAGAGAACTAGAAAGAAAGCTGGTGTCGATCATCCTTCTTTACCAGCAGGCATGCTCAATGGTGCAGTCCCCCCAATCAATGTCCTTATCGTTGAAGATAACATTATCAATTTGAAACTCCTGGAAGCCTTCATGAAACGTCTTAAAGTCCGCTGGCAAACTGCAATGAATGGTCGCGAAGCCGTGAATAAGTGGAGAGGTGGTGGTTTCCATTTAGTGCTAATGGATATCCAACTTCCCATCATGTCCGGACTCGAAGCCACGAAGGAGATCCGCAGACTGGAGAGACTCAATAGTATTGGAGTTTTCAGCAGTAGTGCAAGTAGTAGTGCGCCCAGCGAAAAGGCTTTGGCGGAAGAGGAACCAGAGGAAGGTGACAAATTGCCAAATACGGTGCTATTCAAGAGTCCGGTTATCATTGTGGCTTTGACGGCTAGCTCGTTGCAGAGTGATAGACATGAGGCTTTGGCTGCGGGTTGTAATGATTTCTTGACAAAGGTTCGCTTTTCCATTGTAGCTCGATTGCATATGTGATGTTTTGATGATATACTAACACGGCGTCAAACAGCCCGTTAACTTCGTCTGGCTCGAGCGTAAAGTCATGGAATGGGGATGTATGCAAGCATTGATCGATTTCGATGGTTGGCGCAAATGGAAAGATTTCAGTTCACAACAAGCAGCGGAAAAAGAGTCTGCTGATGCGAAGAAGAAGGATGCTCAGAGCGTTGTGAAGGCGAAGAAGAAGAACAGAAACTCAATGGGTAGTTTGGGAGGATTAGGGGGTCAGGGGGGAAGTAGTTCGAAGTTGAGTTTGTTGGGTCAGGGAGGTGGACGAGTAGAAGGGGAGGCTGTTGTTGGGTGATTAGGAAGATTGAACAGACCATTTATTTATGGGGTCGCGGAACAGGTGGATACTTGGTTTTGACACAGACACGGCACTGGCATTTAGCATGAGAGGATTTTCATTTGTTTCATTTTTCATTTGTAGTAGCATTACTTGGAGGGAGGAAGTTATACTTTTTCGTTTTTCCCCTGAATTTTGGGTTGAGGGCCGTGAACTAAGCGTTTTGGGTTCGGAATATAATGGGATGGAGCTCAAAATATACACATGTCGTGAGACGGTGGGACGACTGGCGTTTGGGGTGTGGGTGAAGTGTTGATTGAACTTTCTTTGAGAGGATTTCTTTTTATTTTATTTTGAAGGAGAGCTTTAGGTGGGGAGAAGAGAGGAGAAAAATATTTTAGTGGATACCGAAGCGAGAATGGAAGCGAGAGGGGTAGGAAAGGGAGGACAGGGTGGGAAAGAGAAGAGCGAGTATAGATTGAGATGGGGAGATGGGACGGGAAGTGGAGGTGTGATATAGGGAGAAGTGTAGTGGAGTGGAGTAAATTACACAGCATATATATGTATGGGTAGAAGAGTGAGTTACTCTGTACCTTGAATGATTATTGATTTGAAGGGGAAAGAAGGAGGAGAATTGGAATGGAATGCGTCGGAATTGTGGATGGATGAATATATTGTTGAAATGCTATTTTTTAATAGTTGTTTGGTTGCTGTGATGTTGTGATTTCTTGATTCTTTAATTCCTTGCTTATTGATTTGTAGTAAGTACCTAGGTAGATATCATGAATAGAAATCGGTAGGAAGTAGTTTGGTTCTGGGAGTGAGATGGATAGATATGGAATGTACGTGTGCGTGTGTATGTTTAATGAATTATAATATTGAGATAAGAGTAGGGAGGAGAATAGGAGAGGGTAGATGGATGGGGGGATGGATGGGTGGAGTGTCAAGTCGATGGGTGCGTAGGTGTAGGTGTAGGGTAGATGGGTATAAGGTGGATGAGTGATGGGTGAATAATTGGAAGTGTTCTTGTTCGACGTATGTATGATATAGTAGGTACTGGGTTAATTGTGGATTGGACTGTATGGTTTGTGTGGTTTGGAATTTATGGGTGTTGTAGTTTGGAAGATGGATGGAATAATGGAATGGAGAGGAGAGAGAGGAGAGAGAGCAGAGAGAGGAGAGGATCGCCAGATGATTTGAAGTATATCTCTTTTTTCTACTGGATTTCGAGGCAAGTGAATTCGCCAGTATTTTGAAACACACAATATAGCTTTAATATTACTAAATCGAAATATCTAATGAATTTTTGATACTCAAAAATTAGAAATGAAGTTTATTCTTTGTTTTGTTTTTTAGTTTCTTATAAATAAACTCAGAAAAGATATTATACAACTATACACAAATTGGATTCCTGGATTTTCAAAAATGAAATATACAGAATCAATATATACCATCCAAAGGATTCTGTAAAATCTGATGCTTATGCATGTTTCTTCCGCTATGCTCCAAATCATATTCAGATATGAAAACGGAATGGATCTACAGTAGCTGTCAGTCTCACTCGTCTCATTACCCAAGCACCCAACTATCCAACTATTCAGTCATGTACCGATCTCTGAGCGCTCCCTAAACATATCCAAAGTTATGGATGGAGATCTAGGTATATCTTGGGGCTATTTCGTGTCTTGTGTGTGGTTTATATGCAGGTTATTCTTCTTTTACATGTGTGTTTTGGGGTAGTCTAGCGAGTACGTGTGCGCTTGTTAGGTAGGGGGATAAATGAATGAATGAATATCAGATTTCTAGGGGTTTGTTTGGTTGTTGTGGAAGTTTTGTGTGGAAGTGATAGAGATAGATAAGGAAAAGAGAGGCAGAGGTTTCTTTGGTAGATGACATGTTGTGGGATGATCGGGGGGTTGAATAGGAAGATATAAGATGATTAGAGATTGTATGGAAGCGGAGAGGTGGGTGACTTGGAGATGGATAGGATGTGGGATGTGTGAATGGGTTATAGATTCAGATGTGAGGGAGGAGAGATTTGAGGGGAGATGTATGGTTGTGCAGAGGCAAATAAGAGTCGGAGGGTTTTGTTGAGGAACGGATGGTAGTTGATGAGAAAATAAAAGGTCTTAAGTCTTAATTGGGAACCTTTGGTCGAGAGAATAGAGCAAATGACAAGTGACCCAAAGCGATGCACTTATCATGGAAACAGGACCATTGGTTGTGATATATAGGTGTGATGTATTTCCAATACACACGTCTACGGTTTTCTACATTAATGAATGGCGATGACTCTAACGTCATGAGATTGTCCGGCATTTCTTGTCCTATCCACAAAAGCTATATTTGCTGAGGAGCAACAGTCAACCCATGCTTTACCAAGCTATGTGCAATGTTGTACAGTAAAAAAGCCTTTGAAACCCGGGTCAATCTCCGCACGGATACCCTTGCTGTATGTTTCGTTGCTGAGATTATCTTTTGGACGAAACATACAGCAGTCTTGGCCACATTTTGTTGTTGAATCGGTAAGGATGAAATCACCTTGTTCCGTTACAGTAGGCACAACACCAACCTCCCCAGTGTCAAATCTTGCGAATTTCATCCCCCGAAAAATTTCTAGGCTAGCTTCACCTCTCAAGGCAATGACAATTATGTTGATAAGAAAGTATGGATATGACATGCTTGGGCTTTCAAAAGAGTCAAAAGTATTCGTCGTATTGTACATGAATCCGGTTAACCAAAGTAACATAGTTCTTTCCTGATATGAAGACAGGTCTTCGGTTGGAATTGGACATATATCTGCTGCTCCCAAGCTTTCCCAAAAAATAATAAATCTGTCGAACAATGTCCCCATATTCAATCTTTTCCATCCCCCAATCGTCCCTCAACTTGAACATGTTTGTAACAGAGTCAATCAATTTCTGTCTCGCAGATTCGTATGCCAGCTCATCCTCTACTATTACTCGGGCTACCTTTTCAACGACTTATAGTTGGTAAGAACTACCGTCATATGCAAAAGACAAAATATGTGGATACACGGATATAGAGTTCAGCTGGAATCTCTCTCTTAAAACTCCGTTTATTAATATTGACGTCGATACTTCAGCTTGCGTGTCCTCAGAAGCATTTAGAGTATCAGTCTCATCAAAGAACCAAGGAAGACCCTGAAGACTGCTTGTATCCAGCGTCCAGTCTGGTACCCAAGACGGAAGATTGCTTCTTCGAGTGTATGACGCTTTCACGTCTGCATTATACAGTACCTTCAATAGGCCATGCAAAGACCGAAAAGAAGAGGTAAAAAGGGCGGCTTCATGGAGAACATCCTCCACACTCTTAGTATAATCTACGACGGGAATGTAATCTTGTGTGCTCCGGCTGCGAATTAATGGCCATGGTACGAAGTCATCGTTCCTCTCATATGTGCGTTTGAGCTGAAGGTCAACGACAGCCAGATGGCCGTATATTATGTCTCTTAAATCCGAAGCCTTTGAATCTCTCCGAGAAACCAGAACATGTAGAAGGGAGATCACTCTTCCTCCATACCTTAAGCAATTCTGATAGTTTCTCCTTGCCTCATACATATTCCACAGTATTCGGTAGCTTTGCGTATCGTAATTATGTCGTATTTCGTGCATAGCTGGGACCATTGAGCTCAAGTGGGATGTTCTTGATTCTGTTTCTGAGTCTTTGTCGTGGTATACATCTAACGTGGGCGTTGATAATATTGCTCTATCCTTGTGAGGATTATTTCACTCTCTCGGGTCTCTATATCTGTCCAATAAAACCTCGCAGAGATAATCCCAAGGAACTCGCAGTCGCCCAAATTGCACGAATACTACGTTTGAGAGCACTAGTTCTTGATACACCCAGACCCTAGTGAACCATGGTCGTGACACTACATCTTTAATCGCGTCTTCAGCAATTTCTAGAAGCTTAGTTCTGTCCGGATCTAGTTGGTTCATGAGCTCGAATAAACTCTCCGTCTGCTCTACCAAAGCTCCTAAATAGATCACTGTGGCCTGCGCATGACTATATACTTCTTTCATCAAGTCAACTTGCTGACTGCGCTGGAGGTTGTTCGTCTGGTTGATGCAAACAGCATTGGCCCATAACCGTAGTTGTCGCTTCTCATCCCGTAAATCATGTAAAGCTGCAGCGAGATTCACGGTAACAGCAAATCGAAATCCATCAACAAAAATGTAGGTTGTATCATTTGCATCGCCCCAAACATAGGAAAGAGCCGTGTAGTTCCCATGAATGTCGCAGCGACATTCACGTAATGTTGTATGGATGAGATCGCTTTGAATTGGGGACCCTGATGTGCCTGGGTGGAGGATTAGAAGTCGAAGCGAATCAGTCTCTGACAGGTCGTCGTACTGAAATTCGTCAGAATAATTAACTTCAGACATCTTGATGATGATTACTCATCACTCAGAGAATCTTTGTGATAATCTTGATTGATAGTGGAAAGTCTGGTGCCGACAACTGCGAAAAGCACAATGGAAATTCAGGCACGCTTGCTTCAAAGAAGAGATTGTGTGCTGTGTACACTACACATTCGGATGTCGCACCGAAAATACTTGGAAGCGTTGCATAAGCCTGAAGATAGCCTGCATGACTTCGGATTCCCAGGTGCTCCAATGCTCTCTATAAATCCCATGTCACGATGGAGGAGCCACACCCTTCAGTTCTCTAATTAAGCCCCCCATCCCTGGAAAAAGCTTCCTTCCAGCATTCTCCATCTCAACCCACTTTTTCGTTTCTTCCCAACTCACCCACTCCCATCCTCTGCACTTTTCCTCCTCCATCACTCTTGGTCCTTCCCCCTTTCCATTCCAAACTCCTACCATAAAAATTGACACGAAATGTCTTTTCTCCTCCTTCATAATCAGATTTCTACAGCGGAAAAAGTTTAGTTCTTTGGGTGGAATATATAACCCGGTTTCTTCCAAAACCTCCCTGGATGCACCTTCTTCAAAAGTTTCGCCGAATTCTAGATGTCCGCCTGGAAGACCCCACGTGTTGGCTGCAGTCGAATTAATGCGTTCGCCGAGGAGATACATAGGATTCTCTCGGGTAGAAAGCGGGTGAGTAGGGTGGATGATAAACACTCCAAGACCAACGAGGGGAATGGGTGGTGTGGTCGATGATGATTCGAGCGATGGTGAGGGAGTCATGTGAATGTGACGGTGGCTTAAAATCATTGATTTCGTGGCAAGAGCTGGGACACTGCTTCGAGAGCAATGAAGCAGCGTGTCGTACGCAGGTTTTCCTAATCTTCCAATCATGGTATGTTGTAGTATGAAAGATGGTCAAAATTGTATTCGGTTGGAATTTTTGTATTGTATCGTGCTTGGTAATGTGGGAAGTAGTATTTCTTGGTGGTAACACTAGGGCCTTGGGAAGCTCTGTCCACGATTTTTTATACGGTAATAACCCCATATAGCATCATTCCATGTATTGATACCTCAAATATCAAAAATGCTAGTTGGGGTTTAGTATAACGTGATTCATATGCGAGTGGATCATATCATCGAATGGATCACTTGAAAATGCACCAAAATTAGTCATTTTTAATATTCCTATTTTAATAACTATTCATTATTTTTGAAAAATAAAAGAATATAAAATAATAATAAAAATGAAATATCTATAATTTCTAATTTCTTTATAGATATTTTGATTATAGCTTAAAATTGTCACACTTTATATTACAAAAACCTTCTTTTTCAATTAAATTTTATATTAATTGGAATTTTGAAATGAAAATTAGATTTTTATATTATTTATATAATTAGATATTACATATTTAATTTCTGAAAAATTATATTGATAAATAAAGAAAGTGCACGGTTACGCACAGACGAATTTTGTATATAAAATGAAGTGATCCATTCGGTGATATGATCCACTCGCATATGAATCACGTTATGCTATTTCAGATCGTTTTGATTTTCAAAATATTATTATTTTGATTTTAATTTGAAAAGTATTAATTTAATCCAAATTCATAAGGATATTGATATTTTAATCTCAATCAGAAATATTAATATAATCCAAATTCACAAAGATATTGATATTCTGGTTTCAATTTGAAAAGTATTAATCTAATCTAAATTCATAAAGATATTGATATTCTAATCTCAAACTCAAAAATAATATTAATTTAAATATAATATAAAATAAGGATTTTCTATTCAAATTATAATCAATCAGATTAGAAAATCAAATTCTGATCTTAAATTGAATCTTAAAGCTTTTATTTTTTGAATGAATTTTGTTTTGTTTTATATTCCTTATTTTTATCATTATATCTTTTATATATCCTTTTTTCTTTCCAACTTTAATATATAATTAATACCTTTAATAAAATATCTAATTTCAATAAAGATTTATTCTAAAAAAGAGAAAGAGAATTAATTAAAGAATTTCGAAAAAAATAAGTATTTGTAGAATTTAATATATAAATATCTAAAAACTTTCGAAATATAAAACTTTGAGATAAAAAGCTTAAGGGATTTAAAAAATAAACAAATTAATTAAAAGGTTTAGAAAGTATAGAAAATATTGGAGATTTTATTATTAATAATAATTAATATCTGATTTTTAAATAAATGAAAAAGAAATACCTCGAATTAATCTCAAATCTTTTATAAATATTAATAAAACAAGTTGTAAAACTTTAAGCTCTATTATTTTAATCTTAATTTTTTTTTTAAATTTTATAATCTTCTTTATAATGCTCTGGATTTTCTTTTTAAAAATTAAATAATATTATTTATTTGAATTAAGTTTTGGAATAATAATTATTATTTATATTTCCTTAACTTTATAATCAAATTTAAATATATTTTCTCTTATAATATAATTTGATACAAATTAAAATAATTTAGATAAAATTATTTTAGTATTTATATTATAAAGAATTTTATTAATTATTCCGAGTTTAAGCTTTTGTTTTTTAATATTAATTTGGTTTAAGAATAAAAGTTCTTTTAATCAAATAATATTATCTTTTTCATTATATAAAAACTAGATAAATAATATTAATCACTATAGAATTATTTTTTAATACTATTCTTCTTATTCTTCAAATATATTATTCAAAACTTATTCTATTTCCTTCTCTATAATTTCTTTAATTGTTTTTTTAGATTTTTATTCTTTTAATAATCTTTCCTTTTCTATTTGTTATTTCTTTTTTAAAATTATTTAAATTAGCTTTACTTTATTATTTATTTTATTTTTTATTATTCTTATATCTATATTTATACACTCTCCCTTTACAATATTTATATTTATATCATTTATATCTACACTATTTATATTTATATCATCTATATTTATAATATTTATATTTACATTATCTATATCTATATTATCTATATCTATATCTCCTTTCTCTTTATGATTATTATTTTAAGTAATTTCAATATATCTATTACTTTTATTATCAATTTTATCTATTATTTATTTATAATATATTTCTATTTTTTTTCTTTTTTGCTAATTTTGAGAAAAGTTATTTAATTCTTTTTATATTTATTAATATCATTTATAAATAATAATATATCAACTACAAATATCTAAATTAGTAAAAATTGATTTATTGAGATTTTTAATTTAATCAAATAGAATTCAATTATTATTACTACTATTATTCAATTTTTTATTAGAATTATAATTAAAGTCAAATCCGGTTTTATTATTATTAATATTATTTAGATTTGATTAAAAATCAATTGAATCTGATTAAAAATTGATCAAATCTAATCGAAAATCTAATTGAAAATCTAATCCAGAATTTAATTCAAAACTTAATTCAAAATCTAATAAAACATTATTTTCATCTTAATAATTTTGAATTTGATAATTTCTAATATATTAAGCTTTATTATTAATAATAGGCTCAAAAGAATAAATCCGATTATTATAATCTGATTTAATATTATAAAAACTATATATATTATTAATATAAATAGAATCTTTTCTTTTGTTTTTTCGAATTCATTTCTTTTTTGAATAATCTATTATATAGAATTGTAAAGAAAAAAGAATTATAAGATCTTTAATTAATTTTGTTAGAGTAGATACTAGCAATGAATCAATTAGGTGAAATGTAGCACAAAGACTTTTCATTAATTCTTCTAAACTTATGAAAACTATACAATTTATATGTGTGTGCGGGCTCCCTTCGGCACATAGTAGGCCCGAGGGCTTACTATCACGTGCCTAATGGAACCCTTTAGTTCATGACCGTGACAAATTTATTATATTATAGAATTAGATTAAATACTTATAAATAAATATAATACTATATTTTTATAATAAATATATTATAATATTATAATATTAGCTTTTTTTGTATATAATAAAGTATAATATATATATATATATAGAATACTCTAATATTCTAAAATTCTAAATATATACAAATAATACTTTCAAGATTAATTAAAAATTATTTTCTATTTAATATATATTTAATCTAATAATTATTTCCTTTAATTAAAATGATTTTTATTTCTATAATTTAATATTTTATTTTCTTGCATTTCTTTTAGAATATATTAGCAAATTCTAAATTAAGTATCTTAAAGTTTCAACATTTTTTGAATTTCTATATAAAATAATCCTAAATATTATTTAGTATTAATAAGATTGAAAAATTTCAAAATAAACTTTATTTATTATTAAAAAATTCACTAATATTAGAAATATAATATCTATAATAAACAATATTAATATCTATATAAAAGAAATACTAATAAATAATAAAAGAAATATCTTTAATATATTCCTATATTAAAAAATAATATTTTTTTATAATAAATATAGTAATATCGAATCTTTCTTTAATATTTACTATAATAATAATCCATCAAATATATTTATATTTCTTACCTGTCAGGGTACGGGTAAAGACTTATATTGTACCATAAGGGTAGAAGAGCTATGGAAGAGTGAGGCCCTACTTATAAGAGGTAGGGCACGCTAGTGGTCTGTGCCTGAGGCACGAAGGCAACTACAGAACATGTAGTTGGCGCCGTGACATTACCTTTACTTTTAATTTGAATATAAATATTATTAATAATATATTGAATATAATATAAATATATAATTTATAGAAACTAAATCAAATTATTAATTAAACTCTTTTATTTATTAGAAATATATATATAATGTGTTTTATCAGTGAGTGGTTTATATTAGTGAATGGGTCACTTATTTTATATACAAAATTCGTCTGTGTATAACCGTGTACTTTCTTTATTTATGGATATAATTTTTTGAAATCTGATATAAAATACTTGAATATATAAAAATCTCAAAAATCTAATTAGTTTTAGGAAATTCGAATTTATAAAGCTGTTATTATAAGAAAAGGATTTTTGTAACAAAAATCGTG